CTTTTAATTATGTTTGAAATTATGAACATTGCTCAACATCATGAAAATTAAACCTTATTTTCAATAAGCAATCCTGAAAAATATTTGGGGGTGCTTAACTTTTTTCCAGGTGTATATGTTGAGTCATGCTAGTGGTGAATATGGGCCCCGAAAGTTGAATCATGCTACCGAAACTCAGGTATAAGTGTGAATATGTTTAAATACGACGTTGTTTCCTCGACTGTTACGGACACTAACCAAGTGGTTGCAGATACTTTATTAATATTTTCAAGTTGTATTAGTAAAGTAAATCAGAAACCTATTTTGTCTGACAAAGAGGTGTGGTTTTTTATTAAGATAACTTACTGACATACGATTTTGTTTAAAATAATTACATGCGAGTTCCTATAAATTTATATTTTTATATTTTTGATGAAATCTGTTCGTTAATCTTTTGGGGCAATAAAAATGATATTCTGTCGACACATAATTGTTTGCATTTTGAAATAAAAGCGAAAGCACAAAAGTTTGTTATACCTTTTGTAAATGTTTTTGTAGGAAATGGAGGCAACAAAGCAGTTCTTGCTCCAGTTTTGGCGGCATTAATTATTGTGGCCATTGTGTTGGTGGTGGCGCCAATTACAGGAATAATCGCTTTTAGAATTCAAAAACAGAACAAAAGACAAGGTATTTTGGCTTTCTCAGTTGTCTGTTGTTTTAAAATGAGTATATATTTCGAACACAGTCATATAGACAACATAGTTAGAAAATCATTTAAAAGTTGTTAAGTGAGTTAATTGCTTATTGAGGTCGAATTGGTATAAAAGTTTACAAATTAATGGGCTGGTTATTCAAATCAGTGCTCTTTAACATACACATTTTCGTTACTCTAAACTTATAATAGCTATGTTTCTTTATTTTAAAAGAATAATACTTTTGATGCTATTCATAAAATAATTACAATGAACTGTAAAGGTTTTTATCTGGCAAAAAAACGTTAATTGAGTATGTATGAGATACAAGACGCGTAAGGGTTTTAGAAATATATAGGTGAAATATGACAGCTGTTTAAAGTATTTCTGCCTTTATAGTTGTTCTGTGATTTTTAGTTTCGATTGCTATATTTTAACTATGTAATCATTTCCACTCTTGTAGTTTCCAGACAGCGTGAGAACGATTGTGATATGTGAGTATTTTGAAACACTCGAGTTTAAGGTTTTTTTGTAGAAAATACTTTTTTTTACATAACTCCAGCCTCAAATTTAATCATTCGTTTATATGTGTCTGTTTTTTTATCTGTATTTTTGAAGTAATTGTTTTTCCGTACTGATTTAGAATCTGACATTTGCTAAAAGTGTATTTTTGCTATCTTAGGTACGATACCGAACTTGAACTTATTATTACCACATGCTTATGTTTTTATTTGTTATTGATAAAGTATAGAATGTTACAATGTGTACAGCTACTCTGCATTCAATGTAACTTTTGAAGAACTTAACATATAGTTTTAAGACCATACATTCGAATATAAGCATATATATACATGACTTTTGAAATAACAGTTAAGTATCACGTGTAGTTTAGGCACTAATAAAACGCTAATATTATGATCTAAATAAATTTTGTAACTTGATTTTGATTATGGTTACAATTTTTGTGTCGTAATTGGAGTTTATGTAAAGTAATACTACATTTCTCTGGTGTGACATGTATCAGAAAAATTTAGTTCACACTTTTACCATTTCAGCCTGTATTTATTTTGAATTGGAATACACACACACACACACACATATAATAATTATATCATGTATGTTTTCGTTTGTTTTGCTTGTTCTATGTAGAAAGAAAAAAAGCACACACATACATAGTTCTATATGTTCCAGGTCTGATGTAGTATGCGACAAAAGAGGTGACGTTGCTTCTGGACATAGTGATAAAGGACCTGATATCATTCCAGATCAAATGTTTCGTGAAGGTAACATCATATTAATATCATGTTAGTTAGCAAGATGGACATAAAAGTAGAATTCCAGGCCTGATTACGCTGTACAGACTAAGCTTTATTCTGCTCTGAAGACACGAATAACAATCTTTTGAGAACCTCGTTATGTTTGTTCATTGTTTCTAAGCTATTTATCTTCTGATGGCAAGTGAATACAACACGGTACGTTATATTTGCATATAAATGAAGAATAAGTCATGCAAGTAACTACATACGCAATATCAATTTTCATTTAATCAGATACAAATTCATTAAAAACAAATAATAATTACATACATTATTCCAAAATACTGTGTCGTTGGACAAATACTGTGAGACTTGATCAAATATTAGCTTCCAAAACATCGAACAGTATTTAATACATGACCTTAAAGGACTGATTCTATTTGTATAATCAAGTGCTTAGTACTGATATCACATATATTATTCTACTTTATCGTGTTAATGTTCTGTTGATGATCATAAAAAGTGTTGCATATATATATATGTGTGTGTTTCTCGCAGATAAAATTAGTCCCTCAGCACAAAAGTTCTCGTTTAAATTCTGGTTAAAGTTTGTGAAGAAGTGTTATTTTATTATTATTATCCGATGGTCGTTGCAGATTGTGTTAAGAAGTTAAGTTGCTCTAACATGACAATAGTTCCACGTCCCTCAATCTGTTGATCTGTCTTCATGCAGTTAAAAAGTGGTTTATATGGGAAATTGAGCTCCGTTTCATTCCAAACGTTTCTCTAACTTTTTGGAGTCTTCGTTCCTTTGTTTTTTGTAAATTCGGAAAGTGTACCAAATATAATCTCATGTATTACTGAAAGTAATAATGTATACAAAAATTTTATAACTGTTTATCTTGCTACATAATATGTCAATCAACAACATATCTTTTGAGATTTTTTGGGAAAGCTGATATTGTATATGTAGAGTCATTTGTGGGCATTATCTCACTTTAATTGTCAAATGTGCAAATATTATTTATTTAATATAAACTTATCTCGAGTTTAGATGGACTTTGTTACTTAGGAATTTGTGTGTGTGTGTGTGTATATGAGACCTTCATGGTTACACAAAAATGACTAACATATAACCGCGAGTGCTTGTTGTTAATTTCATTTTTGTAAATCTCTTTGGTCTCAGACTTTCTTCAAATAATTTTACTGCTCATTCTGTTCATTCATTGATACGTTCGGGTATATCAGTATTTGTCAAACTTATTAGATCTTCCCCCCTTTTCTTCTCTGTAATGCACTTTGCCTACACCCCCCACCCCCCAAAAGAGCGCTCAACGCATTTAAATAGTGAGTAGATTTACTAATATAATATGGTTTTTCTCATGTGTTTTATATCTAACTAAAAAATAAACATAGCTGAAGTGATTTAAAGCATATAATTGACTGATTCGTCAATAACTTTCAATAAACATTTACTCTGCCTAAACAATCTATCAAAGAAGTTAGATCAATACTTGTATATATGACCGTTATTATTATATTTTCATTAAGTAAGCCGCTAATCTAATTTGAATACAGTTCTTTTTTCAGTTATACCTGCTAATATTCATATAAATTTCTAACCAAGTATTAAGTTACGTAATACTTCTTAAGTAACTAGGAAATCAAGCAAATATTAGCTTTGAATTTTATAGCACTCTAAAATAGATCTAAAAGAAAAATATACTCCCGTGCTTATAAAGAAAAAACAGGTAATGAATATACGTAAAATAATGCCTTCTATGTTTGTGAATATACATAAATTAATTGCTTTTAGAACTTCTTTACAAAACAGTTCATATTAAATTTTGATGTCCAGAAAGTATTTGAATGAATTAATATGTTCTATTTTCTTCATCAGGGCTAGTTGATTGTGAAGAACAGTGTTTACAGCTTCTAACGTCTACTAAAAACTCACATCGAGATATATTCCGTGAAGAATCTGTTGTATCTGGTGATAGAAAAATCAACGTTACAGGATCTTTAAACGAGTTTGGCCAACCTCGGAATAATAGAGAACTTATGAAGGTAGTCGTTATAGATAGAATTAAAAACGTAATGCGTTTAATTTTTTCAACACTCTGAAAATGTCCAACGTTACGACCAAAAACTCATTTCAGGCACCAAATATTTGAACCTTGGACCTGAAGTGGCCCTATATCTGAAATGTAAATATGTTTTCTAAAGCGTTGAAAGCAGATAAACACATTATTACTTACAGAATTGGGGAGAAGGGAAAGACAGTTGTATGTTTCACAAATATTCGGAGTGAGAAATAGGGAGGAGATTAAGTTGGTTTGGTCGTTTAGAGCTTTTTTCTGCATTTGTTTTTAGACTTTTATTTATTTATAAAATTTCCAAGCTATTTAGTTTTTTACCTTTTTCGCTTCTTACCCCACCTGTCTCAAGGTGACTGTAACGGTCACTTCCGGTTATTTGACACATATAAAAACCTGTTCACAAACCATTTCAGTCTGTACCTGATGTGGCCCGGCATGGCCAGGTGGTTAGGGCGCTCGACTCCCAATCAGAGGGTCGCGGGTTCGAATCCCCGTTACACCAAACATGCTCGCCCTTTCAGCCGTGGGGGCGTTATAATGTGACGGTCAATCCCACTATTCGTTGGTAAAATAGTAGCCCAAGAGTTGGCGGTGGGCGGTGATGACTAGCTGCCTTCACTCTAGTCTTACACTGCTAAATTAGGGACGGCTAGCGCAGATAGCCCTCGTGTAGCTTTGCGCGAAATTCAAAAACAAACAAACTGTACCTGTGATGCCTTTACTGGCGAAGCCATGGTCGTTAATAAATGAAGTATTTTGAAACGTACAATTGTCTATGTTTTTCCTCAATTCTGTAATCGTGGACAAGAACCGACGATTTCAAGTATCTATTATAAATTATTACTTTTTATTTATCTTTATTACATTTTATGTTTTTCTATTTGAAGAAGAAAAACTTTAAGAGGGAAACACTTTTAAAAGACTTAAGTATTTGTTTTTGTGAAGTTAAGCACAAAGCTACACAAAGGGGCTATCTGTGGTCTGCTCACCACGGGTATCGAAACCCGGTTTCTAGCGTTGTAAGTCCGCAGACATACCGTTTGCCATTGGAGGGCAGACTTAAGTAAAAAGAATTAGCCATCCAATCTGGGTTAGAGACCTAGATATGGTTAAAACTAGAATAATAAGCGTAATTCCGTAACTTAACTAACGAACAAGTGCGACGAAATATTTCTTAAATGGGCATTCTAATTTTTGAACATAAAACAAAAAATGAAACAGCAAAAATTCCTAAACGTATTCATTTTAGTAATTGAATTTATCACGAGAGTAGTTTAACACTTTTACGCAATCTCCTTAGATCTGTTATTTAGATTCGACTAACAAAAAATCGTGCAAAGAAAGTTCTACAAATTTTGCATGATTAATTACAAATAGATAACGTGAAACTTATCTATAAAATCGCAGTTAAAATTTTTGTTTTACGTAAGTAGGATTATAGATTTTTTTAAGTAGTTTTAACCATACAAAATGGTTTATTCTTAATAAATATTCGTGAGTTTCGAATAAAGAATATCTTCTTACTCATCATTCACTGATTTTTCTGCCTTAATTACTTCTAAGCAGTTACAGTTATTTAAATAGTCTTCCTTTGTTTATCAGTTATAATTATTCACTGAGTTTTAATAAAGAATGCCAAATTAAGTTCAAGATTTAAACGATTTATTTTAGGCATTATATTATGGTCCTCATGTTTTAACCGGAAATTGACAAACTCCAAAGTTTATTACGATAAAAAAATGCACTAGATCATAGTGATACGTTTTAATTTCTACAATGTCTGTGATAAGTGTTGATGTACGTTTTAATTTCTACGGTGTTCGTGAGAAGTGTGGATGTACGTTTTAATTTCTACGATGTTCGTGATAAGTGTGGATGTACGTTTTAATTTCTACGGTGTTCGTGATAAGTGTGGATGTACGTTTTAATTTCTACGGTGTTCGTGATAAGTGTGGATGTACGTTTTAATTTCTACAATGTTTGTGATAAGTGTGGATGTACGTTTTAATTTCTACAATGTTCGTGATAAGTGTGGATGTGGTTTTCTTAGAAACATCAGCTAAAAACTGTATGTAGTTCGCTAATTTTAACGTTAAAACTTAAACTCTAGTATATCTTCCTTATGTGGTGCGAGACTTATTTTCTGTTCATAGTTTATGCTATAAAGAAATTAAATGTATAAGACAGTTAATTTCAAATTATGCTATCGAACAAGCATTATAAATACCGCAAGGATATGCGTGTGTCCCGAAATTATGCTCAAGAGTAAAATAAACAGATAACTCTTATTCCATTTTCACAGAACTGATTTCAATTAAAAGTTCGAAGTTGGATAAGATGTGGTTCGACATATAACCTTGTACTGTGAAAAGAAAACTTGTTAATCATATACACAACAGAACCATTAATGGGAGCTAAGATCATGAATAGCATGAATTGAGGTTTGATTATTTAAGAAAGAAAAAGGTCTTCATAACTGTAACGTTACCAAAACTGTGACTTTATCTGTATATACGTATATATCTTTAAAATATTTGTTACAATCTACCATATTAGGCTAATTTTCATTGTTATGATATCAGCGCGAACACACAAAATTATCTCATTTTCAGATGCTTTCGTTAGTTGTATAGTCGCATTTTCGCTACAGAATTAAACATACAGTTTTGGGCATTAAAAAGTGTTCATAAGATTGCTTAGTATTTGTAAGCAATTTGTGAAAACACACACAGTATATTCATTTTATTTTCTTACCAGTTTATACATATATAATTTGAAATGCCATTCAACATACAAAAATATTGTTATAACAAACGGCTATTTTTTTTTTCAAAGTTACTTAATTTCATAAAGAAGCTAATGCCTAACATGGGAATTCTTTATATGAGGCTTATTGATTTGAAACTCCAGCTAAAACTTGTACACGGTTGGGTTTTATGTTTTCTTTTTATGCCGTGTTCGCATGTTGTATTCTTCTGTTACAGGAAGACGATTCGTCAGGTTTTCAGTCAACGTTATACGCTAAGCGGCATCAAGTTTCAGTAGAAGGTTCGTGGAAATCTACTGACCAGAAGTCACAGGCAGGGTCTTCCGAGGAAATGCTAATAGCTAGAAATATACACGAGAGTGCAGTTTAAATAAATATTAACTTGGCGAAGTCAGCAAAAGGTAATTTAGATTATGTACGTGTTTATGAATTGAAAATAATTTCAGTTTGGTTTTATTTTCCATCTACAAGATAATAAATTCGTCGCAAAGATTATCGATGTTGACAACGTTAATGTATCAGTTCTGAATTTATATATCAGCATTGGAATTAGTTTTATTTCATGATTTTTGTGTAACAACTTTTATCATAGTAACTTATGAAAGAAAAATACGGTTAACACATGTGTTACAATTTCATTTCAAAGTAGAATGAGGTGGAAATATTTCGGTTTTCGTCAATAACTAGCTATTGCGAAATGTTTTCCCTGTTTATGGTTACTAAAGCGCTTTTACGTGTCTATAACTAGCTAATCAAGCATATGTCAATTGTATGGAAACTATCAAATGATACTTAATCATTATTTCAAGAATAAAATACTTATTTAATTGACCTTATACAAAGAGTTTTTAAGTAACCTTTTTTATCTTACTTGATTTGTAATCAAAGCTTAAATAATCAGTTGTAAAGAACATTGAACTAATCTATTATATAAAATACAAACTTGCTTTAGGCTAACAACAGTCTAGTTAGGCTTACGATAACCAAAGGTGCCTGATGAAAACTCCAGCAATGGAGTTGAAAACTTAAAATGAATAAACCCTTTAACAAAGTTTGGATAACCATTTGTGGATTATATATTATTATATTTATAACCCCACATTCATTACGATTTTTTAAAAAAGTTATTTGAAAGTTTAAGTAATTCTGCTTAGATAACCATGAGAGCCTTTGATTAACATTCTTCATAACTATGTTAGGAGTTCATTAGCAGTTACATTGAGTTTCCTAAACAGTCTTTATAAAGGAGTCTTTCTCCGAGCATTCTTTATACAACCTGAGAAAGAAATGGTTACGGGAGTTATTAGCAACGTCTTAATGAATATATTTGTTTTATAAATTGGTGCATTATTTAATAAATGAATTTTGATGCAAGCGTATGGTAAAGTTCATTAACACCGACAGAAATGAGAATTAACATGGTTTATTTTGTTCTCCAAGCACGAAGATCGACATTCTCGAGAGATTCACTTGATCAGAGAATAATCAAGTTAAGCGACAATATTCCTAGAATTCGTGGAAATGTTTCTTCTTAGTGATAGCTAAGGGACTAAAAGCTAAATAATTAAATAACTTAAACTCATTATTAATGTTACGTACGCTTTCTGCGTGTTAACATGTTAAAGCAACTATTTTTTTAATTAAAACAATAAAACGAAACACAAGTGTCTTGATCATTTAATCGAGAACACCTATTTTAATATATGTGTGTGTAATTTCTCATGCATTTACCATAGACAGAATTTAACAAATCATCTATTACTTATGAAAAAAATGTTCAAAGTGATAACTCGTTTTATCATAGTTGTTTTACATGTCTGTAACGTAATCTAATCTGTGGTTAAACTTTTACAGTTAACAAGTGAAACATTATTTACCACATCGTATTTAATTAAATTCAGATAAAGTACAAATATAGTCGAAGAGAATAGCTATTTTTTGCATAGAACTAACTAAATTTCTACGTACAGAAATTTCGTTAAACTATTTTCTTATATTTCAGTCTTGGTAAATAAACCATAAAATAGTTTTTCATTCTAACTAAATGAAATTGCACATTGAAGTGGATGGTAATGGACGTTTTTAAAGAAATAGCTGTTCTAAAGCTGTGTAAATTTCGTTTCGGTTTGAACACATCAACATTACATACTGTTGAACTGGTTTTATTTTCTTACACTAAGGATCTAAACTTATCAGAATTTTTGTTCTCATACTAATTCAACCCTTTTCGTAATAATCAATATAAAATTTTCAAATTTTGAAAAATAAACACATCCTATATTGATTTTAATTCAAAAATGGCTACGTTTTAACGAAACCGACGTTGTTGTTTATTTTATTTTATTAATTATGAAATACTATGGTAGCTGGTAAAAATGTAAAGGAAAGAAAAACAAAACTCAACATTGCTCAAAAACTGAAGATAATTATGAAATACAAATACACTATTTTACAATTACTCCACGGTTATAATTACATAACTAGGACACATTTTTAAGCTTTGGTTTGTTTTCTAATCTAAATTGAATCTTCAAAAGAATAAAAACCTATTTCGTTCAGTAATGATCTACTTTAACATAAATGAAATGAACCAAGCTAGGACAGAATTTTGAGACTAAAGGTTTCATTTAATTGTAAAGCAGAAAATCGAAATATTTTAAATTTGTGTGTATAAGCTTACCAGATTTTAACTTGACAAAAAGTTTCCCATCTTTGATCAAACAGCATCAAAGTTTGATTAACTATATTTTTCAAGGTAGAAAATTAAATGTATACCACGATTTGGTAAATTACATCTTTAAGATATCAATCACTGAGCTTATTGGCAATTCCTTTTTATAGAAACTTGATAACCTACATATCTACAAACCAATGCAGCTTACGAGACAAAGCAGCTTTGTTGGTTAAAACATTTGTCCCGTAAACAGAGTCGCATATTAAGTCCCACTTAATGTCAATTTCGAGACATAATGACACTTTTAACATTTCTGACTGGCTGTATTAGGCCTAGTAGCTAACGTGCCTGTACTATGAAGCCAAAGATTCATGGTTTTCGCTCCATTGCCTCAAAAACTGCGCTCTGCTCTTTGGGAACGTAGGCCACTATAATAGTGGCGACGGTTAATCCTCACTGTTTGGTCAGACGAGAGTAGCCCAAGAGTTGGCTGTGGGTGCTGTTGACTAACTTTCTTTTCTTTCATCTATCAGTTCAAACCGAAGAATGGCTACGAGCAAATAGCCCTTTGCGTAGGTTTGTGAAAAAGTTATAAAACAATCCTTTCTATTTTTAAAGTTGTAATTTTCTTGATTTGTTACTCTGCTTATGCACTGGTTATTGGAGCGTGTGGCACGCGTGTTAGTCCTGAGGTTGCTTCTGATCAATAGATGCTTGAACTTAAATTATTTTATTCAACAACGATAACTCGAAGGTATGTGTTTTCTATATTCTAGTTATAAACACATAAATCGTGACTTATCCAACCATGAATATCAAGCAATTTTACAGTAGAAAGTAAATTCTGTATTTCTACAAGACTAAACATCAACTTGCATTTTGTCACAAGAACACATTCACTTAGTTGCAGAAGCTAGATTGGATGGTAATTTCGCTTCAGGAAAAACAAATAGTTGTAATATGAAGAACAGAAACACAATCATTATGTTGAAGAAGTGTACTTAAAACATTTGTTTTTAATTTATATGATGTATTGGATGTTTTAACCAATAAAAACGGAAAAAGTTCGCTTAAGTGTTTCTACGTAGTTTGTTTAGAAATGTCGAGGTCATTTATAACTTGTGTATTCAAGTTGTTCCGACTTAAATTAAGTGGTACAGGTTCAAATGAACACTAAAATAATTTATTTATATATACATTTAACAAGTTAACAAGGGTTCTTTATAAGTTTGCTTTAAGTAAGTTTACTATTCTTAGTTACCTAATAGTACATCATTAAAATAACCTTACAGATGTTTTGTTTTTCAGTGGTACCCAATAAAAGACCTGATGTACATCAATTTAATGAAGTGCTGTGTTCAACAAGCATCTCTCGATCGAATATGAACTTGTATGTTTAAGCAATGCCGAACTGTAGAAAAGAAGAGCCTTACTAAACTTGTTAAAATACTTTTGCTTGTTGACAAGTTGATAACATGTTCAGATCCAAGTTATTATAATTATACATAATCCACAGTGACCAGCTTTATAAAGTGAAAAATGTACTTAACATCTTAGAGATAAATAATCAATGGAATTTAACTCTGGAACTAACAACACGGTCCAATCCAATTGACTCTGTCTAGACAAATTAACGAAATGATGACATAAGTATTATCATGAATAAAATAATACATTTATTTAAGATTGTGCTTATTTTACCTTTTTTTCCTTACGTTGCTGTACTGTATTAGTTGAATACTGGGTCCATTGCACCCAGGAGTTAAAACTATACCTGGTTGCAATTTCTGACTGCTAATAATGTTGATTTATTTTAAAGCAATTGAATTATTATTTAGAAAATATACGTTTAGTAGTTGATTTATGTATTACTAAACACGTATGCTGATCAGACGAACGAAAATAAAAAAACAAAGGGTAGGATTTTATTGATTAATTAATTTTATAACTACTTTTTAAATTATGAACCAGTTAAAAAACTAAAACATACAAACATTAGCATGGTTTTAAATATGAGTATTGTAAATGAAGAATTCTTTGCTTCCCCTTTTTAATTGCTGAACTTAATTGTCTGACTCATTATGAACAATTACAAATATATTCAGTAATTGTTATTAATATCAGTTGTAAATGATTTCGTAGAAAGGTAAAATGATAGATCATAGAACGAAGTAACAATTTTATTTGATATAATGCTAACGATTTTAAACAATTTAATACTAATTTTGCTGGCTATGTATATTATATATAAATTCAAAATATTCTCAAACAGACGTAAGGAGGGTGTAAACAAGCAACTTTATTCAGCGTAAATCTGCAAAGAGAAATAATAATAAATAATTATTATCAACTACAGAGGAACTGTTCAGAAAATGCCGGTCACGAAACATACTGACCCGTGACCTATCAGTAATTTTTTTCTTGGTGATCGAAATTACACATAGAAACTGATTATGCCCAAAACATTACTGTTATCCTTGTACATTTCATCACAACAGTTTCATGGATCTCGACAAATACTTGCGTTTCTAATAAGCGAATTAGAACGGTTATTTTGACTCATGGCTACTTAGACCATAACTCACATGGAAATGTGTATTTTAATCGATTGTTCATTAATTTAAAACTGACTTCTATTCTGACGCTCGAACTTGATTCCGTATATTCAAAAAAATATATTTGGATGACGTTGAACACTTAAAAGTAGTGTATCTTTATATAAATATACAGTTTTGGAAATAGTTCTGGAAAGAGTGAATAAAAATGAGTATAAAACATAAATATTTCTTCTCCTTTATTGCATAAAAATAAACTGCATCAAAGTCCACTCACGTATCGATAGCTGCTTATATGTGAGGGACTGTCATCCAACTAATCAAAAAATGTCACACGAGCATAATGCCTATAAATTACAGGGTCATACTGTTCCCAGTAGTAGTATGGTAAATGCACTAATGACTCTTACGACAGAAAAAGCACATAGCAAATGTGTAGAAATCAAAGATTTACCTGGTGAAGTCTACTTCAGGCCATATACTGAAGCAAAATTTCTTGTTTCATTAGGAACTAAATGGAAACTCTGAAAAGTGTACGTGAAACTATTGGAGTTTATAATCGAAGTGGTCAAAGTAGAACGCATAAAAATTAAAAAATTATATTAACTAACTCGAAGTATGCCTTTGACATGATATACGACAAACCAATAAAAAATTTCCAAAGGCTTAGCTGTAAATACAGGGGTTAATATTACCTCTAGAATAGTAAGATACGCATTAGCACGTAGTGGCTTCAAAAACCATGGAACCAAAAGGCTGAAATAAGCATAAGTTTTCAAACAATTGGATGAGCAGAGCTGAATGAAGATGCTTCTTACAGATTAATTCAAATGGTTTCTGGTAACAACCAACAATAGTTTGTTTGATTGCAAAAAGAAGAATGTATCACAGTCAACATTCAACATCAACAGTGAAATATTCTAAGAGGACCAATACAAGCGTGTGTGAGTTACTCTCAGCCAATGATGTTGGAGATCTAGACAAAACTGCTGGTACCATGACTGCCGACAGGTACAATAAGGCTTTTTTTTCATTATATATTTCTTCAGGGCAGGGATTCATCTTCCAACAAGACAGTGATCCCACGCATTCAGCAAATATTACGAAACAACACCTGGAAGTTTAAAGAGGCTAATGATACGTCCACAACCATGGCTAGGCCTGCACAAAATCCCAATACGTATATTTTTCACGTTGTATGAAACTGAGATCAAATGGTAGAAAAACATATTGGCTGAATTTTGAAAAATATTTCGAACAGTATTTCACAATCATAGGTTGATGAATGTAAGATAACATAAAGATAAGATACGCTGCTATGTTTAAAGCAAATACAAAATACTAGTGCATTGTACTACTTACTCGCTTTTGTATCTTCTTTCTTAATGTAAGATAAATTTACTATTTAGTTGCAATTTCTCATTGTTTGTGTCGTATTTGTATTACAATGAAGCTTCCGTAGCTACTTCTAGAACTAATATAAATATCAATAATTAAACACCAACATCCTCTCCGCTTTTAACCATCAATGAAAAATTTAGGAAAGTTCGTTATCCTCAGAGTTACTAATGTATCACTATGGAAAAGCCCATATGTTGCGTACTTTACCAACTCTCCAGCTTGGAGAGCTCGTTATCTTTCAGGTTCACCTACGTATCACTTTAGGAAGATCATTAGCTCCAAGCTTGATTAACATATCACTTTGACATTACTTATCACTTTCTCAGTGTTTTCCTAGCAGGTCGGGAGTGGCCTATTAGTTAACTTGCAGATCGGCAAGTCGGAGTATTCAAGGCTTGAGTCTTGATGCCGTTGAAAACGTTCCCACTTTTCAGTTGTAAAAGAACTATAAAAATGGCAGGCAGCCACATTTTGTTTGGTTCAAGGAACCGGACAAATCCCTTGTAGCGACGGATGCTACTGACTAGACACCCTCACCCTCGTCAGTGGTTCAAAATTTAGAACTAATATACCTGGACATTGAGGATCTCTGACCTGACCGTTTAGCCTACGTGACGCAAAAGGTACTGTTCAGTTTAAAAATTGTAGTTCCAACTAAAAGCATGAAATTACAAACCACTACTCACACAAATGACCCTTAGGGTCATAGTGACACAAAAATACTACGGAAGGGTAAAGGATAGTTGTGGTAAACAACGCAAAGAATTTGATATGTATTATCAAAAATAAGGGTACTGATAATAATAGTATAAGAGAAAAGCGTTATTTTTTATCAGTTCTCGCTTATCTTGCTGGAATAACAAATTTCCTTACGTAAAGATAACCCAGTCCAGTATTTAAACGAAAACTTTGAACGCTTTCAACATCCAGAAAGCCACATACTTCAAGAGCAAGCTGAAACGCACATGATTTGAGATCTACTATTACACAGATGTGTTCCTGGAGTCGTGTATACATGGTTTATATGTTGGAGCTAGTACAAGATACATTATAATTCGATCTCCGTATGCATAAAACACACAACTGGAATAAGATCAATCTATTGCTTGACATTTAAAAATGTGTCTAATTACGGATTACTTCAGAACTAATAAAGCCAAACTTTATATCCAAAACTAAATGTTTAATGGGAACATTTCAGTTTAGTGCAGCTAAATGTTTTCTATCTCCATAGTAAAAGAGTAATTACTGTATAATTTGTTTTCTTAGAGTAGCAAATAGATTTAATAGTGAAGCACCTTCCAAGACAATCTGAGAATTGAAGTGTAACGTTTGTTTATCTTCCCATCGTTTTTCTCTTTCATGCGAAACTTTGTTTTCTTTTTTATCAATTTTAATGCTTATAAATCTCATTATACGAAAATATCGGGGTTTTCATAACATAAGTAGCAAGTTATATGCTGAACTAAGGTAGTTAAGTTTAGCTCTCTGTTTATGAATGAGCAAGATCACTTTTATGCGGAGGTTTTGTAAGTCATTGGCGTTAGTTAACATTTTAAAATGATCTGATTGGACAACCATGTCACACTCGCCCAAGGTGTGCTCCAATACACACAGTTTATTCGGCGTCATAAAATCTGTAGTTACTACCTCACGACTGTGCAGTCTTCTTCTTTTGTTTTCAATATAAACTTGTTTTCAACAAGGTTAAGTAAATTTATAAAGAGCATTTGATATTTTTAGTGGAGACAATTTGTCTTTGAATAAAAAAATGCTGCAAAGACACCCTGTTATAAAAATGTCTTAATTATGCGAATAAATTCTGTAAACTTGTTTTCAACAAGGTTAAGTAAATTTATAAACAGCATTTGATATTTTTAGTGGAGACAATTTGTCTTTGAATAAAAAAATGCTGCAAATACACCCTGTTTTAAAAATGTCTTAATTATGCGAATAAATTCTGTAAACTTGTTTTCAACAAGGTTAAGTAAATTTATAAACAGCATTTGATATTTTTAGTGGAGACAATTTGTCTTTGAATAAAAAAATGCTGCAAAGACACCCTGTTTTAAAAATGTCTTAATTATGCGAATAAATTCTGTAAAAGAGGGCATGTAGGTGTTTTTAACACAAAAACAATATTTACCAATATTTTTAGAGTTATAAAAATTGAACATTTAAGGACTTTATATATTTTTATGTGCATAAAGAAAGATATGCATTAAAATATATAGTTTCAAGTATCGTAGCTTATAATAATGGATTAGCAGGGTTTCTGAAGAATTATCTTACTAATGTTTGTTTTTATTTGTAGTTAAACACAAAGCTACGCAATGGGCTATCTGCGCTCTGCCCATCCCGGGTATGGAAACCCGGTTTCTAACGTTGTAAGTCCGCAGACATATCGCTGTACCACTGGGGGGGGCACATTAATAATGAATATACCTTTAAGGATAGTTTTAAATTCTCTAATCTCAACATTTAAAGTATGACTGTAAGATTTATTTTATCAGTTTTACACTGAGTCTTTCTATATTAATATCACTTTAAAAAAAACAATAAACTTAAATGCTGAACAAAATTTTAGTAAAAATAATAATAATGATATATCATATTCCAAAACAAGTTTTTTTAAGTTAATCAGTTTTCTGTTTCTTTGTTTAATAGTAATATTTGTAATCAGTTTTCGTGAAAAGTAATAAATTGATGAACGACTGCAGTCTTTTAAATCATTAACTTATCGAAGATGTGTAGAAAGTACTTTTACTGTCATTGAGGATCTTAACCATGTACGTTATTTCGTGAAGAATCTGAGTAGTAAGTATAATAGGATTCGATTCATTGTTGAACATCTGGAAGGTTATTAACTTAATTTCTTAGACACTTTGGTTCGTAACTGTCATGATAACGTTAAGCCTAAAGATTACCAAAGAAA